TCTAATACATGTGAAATCAGCTACCTAGATGATAATTTATAAGTCATATATCATTTGCTATGGTTTGAGTGTTTGCATCCACTCCAAAGTCCGTGTTGAAACTTAATCCCCAAGGCAACACTAAGCACTAAGCACTAAGCACTAACAAGTAGAGTTTTAAGGAGGGGAATAGGACATAGGGCTTTGCCCTCATGAGGGGGAGATTAGTGCCTCATACAAGGACTGGTGGGAGTTAACGAGGCCCTTGACCCTTCTGCCTCCTTCTGTGTGAAAATACAGTGCTTATCTCCAGAGGATGTAGCATTTCAGCGCCATCTTGGAAGCAGGGACTGGATCCTCAGTAGATACCTGCTGGTGCCTTGATCTTGAATTCCCCAACCACCATAACTGTGAGCAATGTACGCTGCTTATAAATTATCAGACCTAAGGTATTTTGTTATAGCCGCACAAAAGGACTAATGCACCAGTTGACCTGCAGATTTTGTGGAAAGACCTACCCTGCCTACCTCTTGGTATTCTGAGCCTGGAAGCATTGCAGTCATGAGGGATGACTTTGCTTTGAAGTTCAATCCAAGTAAACAAGGCCCAAAGAGAAAAAGGGATTCCCTGCTCGACCTTTGTAGCTAAGGACTCATTTTTCTGGGTGATGGAACATGGGAGTGATTGATATTGGTAATGATTTCCTACTTCCAGGCAAGTCCCTTCTCCTTGCCACAGGGGAATGATCTTCTTTTGATCTCAACAAGACAAGCATATCAGAAAACATCTTAATAATTCATCTGAGTGACGCATACATAATTAACTGGCATTAGTGGAGGAAAGTGGTTTCCTTCCAAGAACCTAAAGGGTTGCTGCATCCCTGGCTCCAAGCGGGGCATCTGCCACAAAGCAAGTGCTGAGATTCTTATTAAAAGACTAATAAAGGGGAAGCAGCTTGCCTTGGTCATGTTTACTTAATATCTTTCAAAAACACTCTTGCTAAATTATTATATAACATTAACATGTTTACTTAGAAAAGTACAAAACTGAGATGTGAGGTTTTTTTTTTTAAGACAAAAGAGAAGCCATCTGGATTATATAGTTTCCCCAAAAACTGGTACAAAGGAGGCAAGACCATTTTGGAGCCCACAGACCTCCAAGATACTTTTAGACATTTTTATCCTTAAATAGTTTATCTTTATATAATTACATACCTTGGAGTGATTTATCCCATGTTTCCACAGCGATTATCGGTCCCTTTCTAATAGCTCATCTGCCTTTCTCCCCTCGTGGCCGGTATCCTCAGCTTTAGCTGTCCTATTTTACTTAGCTGGTTACTAACCACTCCCTCAAGCCTTTTGAGGGTCAGCACAGGATGGAGAAGCGCAATGGATTCAGGCAGTGCAGAGTCCTACAGAGAACCAGACCTGCGCTGCACACCGCCAGGACACGTGTGGTGGCCTTCCTGAGCCGGCTTTCCTAACTGACAGCTGTGGACAACATCGCCTGTCTCACAATATGAGGAATAGCGGGAAAATATATGCTAATTGTGCAGCTTGTTACACCCCAGACTCTCAATAAATTTACCTTCTTTTCCTTTTCCTTCTCTCCCTTTTGAAAGTAGTCGGGACATAAATTATGCATAAATAAATTATACGTTACGCTGGAAACACTCAGACATGATTAATGTAACCAATAATAATTTTAATATTAATAATAGGATACTCTGGCAGCAGCATCCTCACTCTGACAATCAATCTGCACACGCTGGCTTTGTCATCCTGTGACACAGAGTGCTTGAAGTTTACCCAGGAAGATGGGGATGCACATGAGTTCTGCTTTTGGGTTTTGGGGGATGTCCCTTTTTACATCAGGAGGCCCAGCTACAAGCCATTCCTTACCACACAAAGTATGTGTTACATGTTTGCCAAGAAACGAAAGCTTGGGCCAGACATGAAACACAGAGAGGCTTCAAGCTGTTATCTGAGACTGATAAGGTTTAGAAACAGAATGAATGTGCCGGAAATACTAATTTCTGTTGTCAGTGCCCCAGAGAATGGAAGGGATCTTTCTTTGGAGAGTATTGCCCCTCCAGGACAGGCAAGCAGTAGCCAGGGGCTAAAAAGTCCAGAAATAGCTAGAAGATTCCAAGGTCTGATGTAACCTAAGTATCCACTATGCTTCCTCACAGCCTACTTTCAAGACTGAGTTTGGGAAAAATCGCTTCAAAGAACCCTTCAGGCTCTCAGATCCTGACAGGACTGATACTTCTTGAAGATTCAAACAGACCAGCTGTGAGTGTGGGGTCCAGAGCCAGGCTGCCTGGATTGAGATTTCTGCTCTTCTGCTTGCTGTGTTTCCTTGGATACTGCAGGTGACTTAACTTTTATGCCCCTCAATCCTCTCAACAGGAAAATGAGGGTCATAAGAAGGACAAACTAAGGTGACATTTGGGAAGTGTAGAGCACTGCCCTGGCAGGTAACAGACAGATGCTTGATCTGCCATTACTTGTCCATGATTAAGTGGAGTTCTTAGGGACACCTGGCCTGGAGGTCCCTGAAAAACCTTGCACATAATAGGACCTCACGCTTCTGATTGAATTACAATATTTATTCTTAAAGGTTATCTGGTTGACTTCACAAATTGGGCCTGTGAAACCCCAGACTTCACATCCAGAACTCTCCCTACTGCGCCTTCACTTGGTAGCCATCTCGTCTACCTCCTCCTCCCATGGAAGTGTGCGTGAGCAAGCCAGATGCAAGGACTTGCTAAGAGCATGGGCTGGGACTCCGGAGCACACTGAAAGCCGAAATAAAGCAATGCCACTTCATCTGTACATCCAAGGGTAGCTGGAGCCTTTGTCGCTGATACAGCTTCCGGGGGCTGAAGCTCTCCCAGTGCGGAAAGGAAGACAGGAACTCACCTATCGGCTGTCCACACAACGCCACGCATTCTGCAGGTTTTCACACAGCAACCCTAGTGGCCCTCTTATTCAGCCTGAAGATGAAAGGCCGCATCTCAGAGTGTGGTTTGTTGATTTTTCCATGTAACAGATAGTAGAAAACTAAGCTCAGCCCCTGAGGATCAGGATGGCGTGTGGTTCCAAGTTACAGATCGTCAGCCTGCTGGCATGGCAGGCACTCCTCACCTCTAACACCTACTAATGGTTAGCATCTACCGGGCCCTAGGGATTCCCTCTGCAGCTCTCGCAGAATCAAACCAAAACACAGAGATAAGACAAGCGGGGTATGAGATCCCGGCTGCCCTCCCACGCCCTCCACCGAGGTAGTCTGGTCTGAAGCCGCCAGGGGGAGCCCCTGCACTAGGCGCAAAGGGGAAAGGGTCAGCAACCCCAGGGCCCGGCCTGGGAGCCTCCTCTGATTTACAAAGCTACAGAGACAAGAGTGACAAGAGAGGGCCAAGGGGGCTGGCAGAGGACGCACAGCTGTGTGCTGGACGTCCATCGAGCCTTGAGGAGCGAGGCCCAATTTGTGAGCAGCATCTGCACTGCAACGTCGATCAAACGACAAACGGGAGTCACGTGGCGCTGACCACGTGAGTAAACAGCACGTCGTGGCTCAGAAAAGAATCGAGAACAGCGAGGTGGTCGCACAAAGTACAAGCGATGCTTGCCTCAAGGAGTTCTTATTTTACCTTATGTGTACATGTGTGTGGTGTACACTCAGTCACGCCGAGAAGGTTCTCTGACTGCGAGTAAGTAATACAATTAAAATATACTGACCTAAAGCGCATGCAGTATCCAGACACCCAGGCCCTAGACTCGGGTCTCGTTGGGGCCTTCATACCTGTAGTTCTGATAGTCAATCTGGGAACCACCCAGCAGAGGACGTAGACCCCGAGGTGGGACTTCCTCTCCCTAACCTGGACGGCAAAGGCTTTTTATTTCAAGAATTTGGCCCATTATAAACGTTGACATTTTTTTTTTTTTACCTGAGAGATTATTTCTGATCTAATTTCCTCTATAGCCTCCTGGATTTGTTTCTTTATTCAGCTGAGAAAAAAGGAAGGGAGAAGAAAAACTATATACCTATATATACACACACAAGACAGCGAAGACGGTTATACTATTCCTTTCTTTTAGTTCACTGAAGGGAACGATTTGTGCTTACACTGTTCGGTCAATCTTGCAGGCCTGCGTCTTGCAATCTGAGCAGCTACTTTGAAGATAACAATATGCGATGCATTCACCATTGTTAATTTCCTATTACCTTATTTTAAAATTCTATATCCTTGTTTGTACTTATTCTTTTCTCTTTAAAATAAAACAAAAGAATTTGGCCGAAATAGAGCAAGAGAAGTCGTACGGACTGCACACGCAGCGGGGCGCAGGCCACCGCTCAGCCGGGCTCCAAGCTCCAGCGCAAGGCGGGCATCAGCAGCAGGCGCCTGAGCTGTGCTTTCCGAAGCGGGTGTCAGAAAAACAAACCCAGAAAACAAAGTCACTTAAGAGTCAGCCGGATCCGGGTTCAAACGTTGAGTCTTCGACCTGCCTCTGTGCGTGTGGATGGGTTACACAAGCTCTCCGAACTCCAGTCTCCTCCCCTGCTACAGTGGGGAGAGTGGCTCTCCCGGGGCTGTTGGGAGCGGCAGGAGCAGTCCTGATAATATCGTCCCAAATCAGATGCTCTGCTATGCTAACTCCTCGTCACACATCCGTGAACTACCCCCGGAGCACAGCACACTCTGGCCCCGTGGGCTCTGGTTTCCCAGGCCAGCAGGAAGCCTTCTTGCAATTAGCAGTGGGAGGCATGTAGGCTACGGGGTCCAGCCCGAGCACCTCCCGGAAAGGGCGCAAGGGAAGTCCTCGGGAAGGGAGTGGCCGTCGCACCGGCCTGGGGAGCAGGGAATTGCGGCCCTCAGAGAGAGCCGGTCCTCAGGTGTTTGGAGCGTCCCGCCCACTGCACCTGGGAGGATGGAGCCCGGGGCGCCCAGGCCAGCGGGGAGAGGGCGGAGCTGCGGCCCAAGTGGAGCAGGTGGAGAGCCCGGCTCAGCTGGGCCCCGGCCGGCCGGCGGAGGCGAAGGAGGGTGCGCTGTTGGCCCGGGGACCCAGCTCTAGAGGCCCGGCTGCTCCCCGAGAGGCGATGGAGGAGGTAAGGCGCTCCGCTCGGGTGTGGGCTTCCCGGGGCCCTTCCAGCTGCTCGGGTTCTCCCCACGAACACGCGGGGCTCGGCGTCCTGCGAGCCGGCCAGGCGCCCCCTGCACCGGCCCCGACCTCGGGGGACTCGCGGGCTCTGCTCCCTCGGGCTTGGGACTTGAGATTGGGCTCTGCTCCTTACTGACTGCGGCCCCGGCCAGTGCGCCTGTGCGCTGAGCCGTCGGTTCTCACTCGTAAAGCAGGATTATGCGGAGTGAGCACTTCGCGAAATAGCGGCGGTGCTCCTAAAATCCGAGCTGAAAAAAAAAATAAAAAAATAAAAAAAATAAAATCCGAGCTGATGGGGCGAGGGGTGCCGGGGCCAAGAGGGGCTCCTTCCCGGGGGTGCTGCGCTCTGACAGTGGGAGGCTGCTGTGCAGAGGAGCCGGCTTCCTTTTCCTCCTCCACGCCCCTCTATTCCGTCCTAAATCAGTGCGTGCGTGCGTGTGTGTGTGTGTGCGCGCGTGTGTGTTTTGCGTTCGTGTCTCCTTTATGATACATTTGGAATTTAATCATTTTCTCCGGCGAGTCGTGTGGCCTTCCACCCAGATGTTTGCTTTTAAACCAGGACAGAGAACTCAGCCGCTGTTGCCAGCCAGGAAAATCTCCCTTTGTCCCGGGGCAGAGTCCAGTTAGCTGAGTTTGGGGAAAGGGCGAGCCGGCCTCTGGGACTCTGTTCCGTCTCCTCCTCGGGACCCTCCCGCTGCGCACAGCTGGTTAGCAGTTTCTGAGAAATTCCTCCGTGGGAGAAGTGCCAGGCTGAGCAGATTTAATCCGGGTGGGAGAGAGGAAAGTGACTTACATTTTGCCCTCTACGGGGCCAGGACCTGCGGGGTTCCTCTATTCCAGATTATCTGCGCAAGGACACGCTCGATGCTGTGCCCATCTATTCCAGGGGAGGGAAAGGGGTCAGCATGTTACCGCTGCTTGGTGTCACAGTTCGGAAGTAGCAGCTTGGGCTCAGCTTGTGGATAACAGCTATTGAGTGCCAGGTACAAGCCAGGCGGTGCTAGCGAGGGTAGACTGTTAGGCAATTTGGAGAAAAATGTACAAAGGGGTATATCTGTTAGCTAGTAACATTTTTATGGAGTAAACAAATGATTGCATGACTTTCAGTGCTCAGGGAGGGGAAATGATCCCAAGTGAAATATTGTTGGTTTCTCAAGTTAAAAGGAAGATTTTGTTTTATTTTTTAAAAAATACATTTTTTAAACACCGGCTCTGTGTGAACAAGTGCCATTCTAAGTGCTGCAAGTATAAAAAGAAACCAGTCAAACCTATTAGTTTTTATAAACATATTCTAGTGGGAGAAGAGAAACAAAATCATAGGTCAGATGGCAGTAAGTGCAATGTGGATACACAAAGCACAAAATGGTCTAAAGGTACCATTTCTGTGGGATAGTCCCAAGGAGGGTATCACCACCAGGTGGCATTGGAATGGAAGAAAATAGCAGATGCAAGGGCCCTGAGGCAGAAACTTGTCTGTATGATCAAGGCAGAGTGCAATGAGCAGAACGGCTGGCACGGAGGAGTGGAAGGAGGAAACAGTCAGACATAGAGGGTCTTATCATGTGGACTCTAGAGCCTACTGTAGAAACCAGACTATTCTCTAAGTAAAACAGAAAGCCACCTGAGTATTTTGAGCAGCTCAGTGGCACAATCCAACTTATACTTGATAAGACTCACCTGGCTCTGGTTTTGAACCCAGATGGTAAGGAGGGTGAGAGCACCAGCTGGTGGGCCAGGTAGGAGGGTGTTGCAGGGATCCACACAAGAGGGGATAAGGGTTTGTTCCTGCCTTAGCAGTGACGGTGGCCGGAAGTGGTCAGATTCTGGAGAGACAGCCCCTGCCTCGGGATGGTCATCTGGAGATGTTTCGACTTCGTGATGGCAGAAAAGCACGATGCATTCAGTGAGCACTGCGCTTTAATGTAGAGCTTTTCTGGAGTAGAGCTGTGTGGTGCAGTCCTCAGGTGATGTCGGGGAGCAGATGGGCCACTGTCCAGGCAGCTGTGTGGTCACAGGGTAAGCGATTGTACCCTTCAGTGTACCATGTTGCTGTGCCATGAGTTCGGCAGCTGAGTGTATACAGTGCATTTTTGGCTGATGGTATTTGGGAAGTAACACCACTGTATGTCGAGGAGCATCTGTATATTGAAGGGAGCGTCCACAGGATTTACTGATGGATTGGATTCCCCTAAAAACTGACGAAGGAAATGAGGGATGGTCCATGACTCCAGGTGAGAAGCCTGAACATCTGTTAGACTGGAGCAGTGTGTACTAGGATGACTTAACCCAGAGCAGGTGTGGAAGGAGACCAAGAGTCAGACGGAAGGGCTGAATAAACAGGTGGCTGCTCAGGTTGGGAGGCCAAGGCCAGGCTGGAGGCAGAGGCGAGGTAATACATCTGCAGTACGATGCTGCTGGACACACAGGTGTCCAAACTTCAGGTTCTTCCCACTAAGAAGTGGAGGCTGTGTAGAACTGTGACTGCTTCGGCCAACATAGCATGGCCCATGTGGCACTGTGGGGCTTTGGAGGCCGTGTCAGGAGAGCCCTGAGCTCCGAGCTCTGAGTCCCCAGGCCAGCAGTCTGCATGCCACAGATTCATGCCTCCCTTGGGCACTGGTTCATGGTTCCAGCCACATCCTACCCCAGCCCTTCCTAAGAGCTGGACCCTCCACATCAGCCCATTGCTACAAAGGACTCAAACAACACCCTGGGAACCGAACAGTCACCCAGCTGAGCCTTGCCCAAATCCCTCACCCCCATGGTTGCCCTAGCAAACTAATACTCAGGCTTTATCAGTAAGTAATCAAGGAGCCTGCTGTAAGTATTGAGCTCAGTCCCTTCCCTGCCAGCCTGAGAGGTATTCTGTATCCTGACTTCTGACTTCTCCAAAAGCCACTGGTGAGCTTGCTTCTTCAGGGACAAAATCAGAGAAGCATGAGCTGCCACCTGTCCTGGGAAGTGTGCAGAACTGATCTTGGGATCACACTACACTCTGTGTTTCTGCTCATCACTGACTTCTTGGCTTTGTTTTTCATACCTATACAACTGAAAATAGCCTACCCTTGGAAGGAGTCTTAAAGATTAATCAAAATAATGCCTCTTGTTGTTCAACATATTATATACAGGCATGTTCCAAATAATGTGCTTCAAAAATAATAATTAAAAGATTTGTAACACAACCCTAGAAAGAGATGAAGTTTTATTTCTTATTCTTCATCATTATTTTTACTGCTACCATCTTCTCCATTTTACAAAATGCAGAATCAGGTTACAAACTTGGGCATGTTGAGTTCCAGAGTCTCTATTCTTTTTTTTTTTTCTCTACTGAAAATAGAACCCAGGGTATTCATCACTGGGTTATGTCCCTAGCCCATTAAAAAGAAATTTATTTTGAGACAAGATTTCATTAAGTTCCTAAATTGTCCAGGGTAGGCTGAAACTTGTGTTCCTCCTGCCTCAGCCTCTCAGAATTCTGGGATTACAGGCCTGCACCACCACACCCAGCTTCTTAAGTGCTGGTTTGGTCCCTTTTTATTATGCTAGTGAATGATATATCACACAGACTTTTTAAAAAGTGTCCTAAAATTCAGGAGATCATAATTTGAGTCATCTGTCATCCACTGGTTATATGACCTCGAACAAGACACCTGTCCTTTCAATTTTTCTTATCTCTGTGAGTTTAATAATTCCTATTTGTCAATTTTGTCTATAAGGATTACATTGGGCAGTATTATTGAATACAGTATAGAAATGATAAAATCCTACACTAACATTCGTGGGTGTTCATATAATCAAATTTTTCCAACCCACAGTTTGTAGCATAGCCGACATGAGAATTTAAACTGTTTTCCAAGCCATCCCACCCCACCTTTGGTGATCCAGCCAGTAACTTATCTCAAAGATCAGCAGGTGGCCTTAAGCAAAAAAAAAAAAAAAAGAAAGAAAAATTGGGAAAGGTTTTCAACAACCTGAAGGCTTATATACAAAAAGAGAGCAGCACCTAGCTTTAAATAGGCAAGTCCACCATCCACACCCTTTGACGTATTCATCCAAATGTGCCTGGACTTTTCCAACAGTGCTGTTGGAGCAGGTAAGCAATACCTTTGCTCCAGGGCATGGGATGAGAACAGAGCACAAGGCTGGACCTCGGGATCTCTGCCTAACCGTGCCTCTCCCTCACTCAGGCCCATGTGCCCTTAGGGGCTAATTATTTCTTCTCTGTGGGACTCTGTTTACTCACTAACAAGAATTTAAATTAAAATATAAAGCACCTAGCATCAAACATATCCCCACAATCTTAGTCTAACATACTAGTCACATTTGAGCCGGGTGATAAACCCTTAGGAAGAACTTGGTGTAGGTGAAGCATCCCTCATCTGAAAATCAAGAATCTGAGATGCTCTAAAAATCTGAAAGTTTTTGAGTGCTGATATGCCAACCCAAGTATTGTAACAGTAAGCTAAGGTATTGGTAAAATTCCTTTTAAGCTATGCATCTAAAATGTATATGAAACATAGGCAATTTGTGTTTAGACCTGGGTCCCATGCCCGAGATGTCTTAGTAAGTACATTAAATATTCAAAAATCCAAGGACATTGGAAACCCGAAACTGTGGGCCCCAAGCATTTTGATTAAAGGCTATTCAGCCTGTGTGTATTCTTGTGGCTTATTCTGATGCCATGTCACATTAGAGGCCACAAAGCTTGGATTCTCAGCTGTGTGCTCCTAATTTCCCTCAGTATCCTATAGTTTTCTGTTCAGTGACTATTCCCTTAACTACTGTCTCAGGGAAGAAACAGGTGATACTTTAGTAGTACTCATTCTGTGTCAGATCAATTAGATGCATGATTTCATTCAAACTTTACAAGTACTGTGAGAAAGATAGCCATATTTTACAGATGAAGAGACAAAAGTTTCTTCATGATTTCGTCCAAAGTCTCCTGGA